TTTTTATTCAAAATACTCCTTTATTCAATTTCCATCCTACACACATTTGCGGCACAGGTATTTAGTCTATTTAAGTCTGGCTAGATACTTGTGAATAAAAAACATTGGTTCTCTCACTCATTTTCCTAGAGCCTTTCCCAAAAGAAGATACCCCTCATTTTTAGCCCTCAATCTCTTGCGCGCTGAGTTCAGAATTTCAACAGATATTTTACAATAAATATGAAAAAAATAGAAAAGTGAGATTCTTCCAATTAGATGTAGATATATTACAACAGATATTAAAAAATTCCAAAAAAGTGACGGGCAATGATAATCGCACTCCTCCCCCCCTCCCCGCACGCCCACGCCCACGCCCCTTTTGGAGGGGCGTGGGCGTGGGCGTGCGGGGAGGGGGGGAGGAGTGCGATTATCATTGCCCGTCACTTTTTTGGAATTTTTTAATATCTGTTGTAATATATCTACATCTAATTGGAAGAATCTCACTTTTCTATTTTTTTCATATTTATTGTAAAATATCTGTTGAAATTCTGAACTCAGCGCGCAAGAGATTGAGGGCCAAAAAATGAGGGTATCTTCTTTTGGGAAAGGCTCTAGGAAAATGAGTGAGAGAACCAATGTTTTTTATTCACAAGTATCTAGCCAGACTTAAATAGACTAAATACATGTGCACAAAATGTGGTAGAATGAAAATGAATAAAGGAGTATTTTGAATAAAAACTGAGAGGAAGGAATGAATGAGTTCATGGAAGAAACAGCTGGACAATTCTTCTCAGTCTCTTTTAGAAAAGCTAGCAAATTAATCATGAAAAAACAAACACACAACCACAAATGAATAAGAGGCGTTAATTCTTAACAATCAGTTTTAAGGAATCAAACAATGACCAGAAAAAGAAAGAAATCAACAATAAGACATGAGTTGCTAGAAGAAAATTGTCTTGATGAGTTCTAATTAGACTACACAAGAACAGAAGATTCAACGCAGAAAACAGCTATGGTTGAGTATAATTCAGTCTGGGACAGGATGATTCAAGAAAGAAAAAAGGAAGAAAAAGTAAGGGAAAAGAGGGAGTTTTTTGGGAAGGAGTAGACCAGAGGAGTAAAAAACTCAACAACATCAGTCCCAGATCACTTTTTTCATTTGTTCATATTTAATAATTTATTGAAAAGTTGAAACTGTATACAACTTAAAACTAATTGGAAGAATCTTCATTGTCATCCAAACCCATCACCTTCCTTTTTGATTTTTTGTTAGACTTCTTGTTATACTTGAGTCCCTGTTTCCATGCAGCCAAGGTACCTTCTTGGATCTTGGAGTTCTTGGAGTAGAAGGCCACCATCATTTTGATTTTTGGTAGGGAAGTGAGGGGGTACCTGTAGAGGTACCTAGGTACCTGTTCAATCTTTCACAAAAATAGGTACCAAGTACCGCACCTGGCACCTCCTGGCAGGTGCGGGGCGGGTGCAAGGGGTACCCCCCAGGAGGTACCAGGTACCTGCAAAAAGTACGGACAAACAATCTCTATTACAGGGTTTCGGCTGATGTTCTCCTGTAGGACAGGTGTAAAGGATGACAGGGGAGGCGTGATCTTAACTTCAAACAATATCCATAGATGCTTCAAGAATTGAGACAGAAGCAAAGAGTTCCAGACGATGGGCAGTACTTGGTAGTAGTGTTGATTCAATAAAAAAATTGGTTAGAGAAGATTGATGTTTAGGTCAATGAGCAACCAAACTGACTCAGTGACAAAGCACATTGAGGTAAGAGGCAGAGCAATAAAATTAATATAATGTAATGACTATTGTTGGTCATAAGCCTTGATTTCATTTCCTAGATGCGGCAATACAATGTGTGAAAGAATTTGAAACTGAAGGAGTTTTATTTCTTTGTAAGTTTTATGATCTTAATGAAGAAACACAATTGATCATGAATAAATAAAATGATAAAGAGACATTTGATCAGTACCTGAAGGCAGAACTGATCTAATAATCCTAATGCTAAGGCTCAGTAACAAGGATAAATGGAAAGGCTTCAGATAAGTTAATCAAATAATAATTTAAATGACTAAAATAGATTATCAGAGAAGCAATGTGTTGTTAGCCTAATGTCATAGAATATATTATTTCTCTTTAACTTAAGAGTAGTGAAACAAATTTACTTTAATCACTAAGAAAATCTTTCTTCTTTAAATTAATAACTGTGTAGTACTATTTGTTTGATGAGTCTAACATAAGACCATCAAGTATAAAGTACTATGTCAGTTATCTTTCACTTTTTTTCACTTGAGAAAAAGGCAATTAAGTCTTTTCTTTTACTCACCGACTATTGGTGGAAATATACGTGTAATGAGTTTGCGTTGAGAAGTCTTGTGCGAGTGTAGGCTGAAGCTGGTAAATGATGATTTATGATCAATGAAGAATTAGAACTTGATAATCTCTTGTTCTGATTCTTTATCATTTGATTCAATCTCTCGAGACTCACCTAGAGCTTGGTGATTGATCATGATCATCATTCTTATCATTGCCTGTGACGTCATTGACGTCACTACTCTTTGCACAGGTTACAACCACATTAATCTCTTGCTCTTTTGTTGAACAGCCTATTTCTGTGAATGATCACACATTTTGTGATCAGCGCAATGATTTATTTATTTCTTCAGGAAGTTAATCAATTAAATGATAAACTTACCTGATGCTCTCCTCTTTTGAGGGATCAGACAAGGAATCTTATTCCAACAATGTGTAGACCTGGTATCAAGACCAGGACAAACAAAGCAAATAGTTGCCATTTTAAGATGTACACCAAGAGTCAGGATTTGGTCTAAAACAAAAATCGCAAGTCCAAGGACAAAATCGGTGCTTGGTTTGATGGCCAGTGGAAAAAAACAATTGATGAATTTGAGACTAATATAGGACTTGATTAGATTGAGCCTAGTTTGAGAATTGTGACAAAACGGTGATTGCGTTGATTGCTGAAGTAGGCAAAAAGACAATAAACCTACGCTAGACAACAGAAGTTGACAATGGTTTTATTCAAGATAAATCCCAATAAAAAAACAAAAACATGGCTAGGAGTTGGGAGCTTGCTTTTCTTTTTCATGGGACTCAACATGTTGACAGCCTTTCCTTTGCCTTTGGGACTTGGTCTTAAAGCAAGTGGGACCACATCAGAGAAGAGATGATGCCCATGTAGTGGGTGGCACTTCTACTGGTGCCTTCACCATTGTCTCCGGATTTAGGTTGCAAAGCATTGTTTTGTTCCAAGGTTAGCTCAGTTTTGGATTTGGTATTTTTTCAGGAGGACCAAAGCCTACCAATATCGAGACAATGGCAAAAGGTCAAGATGCTGGCTTGGATCCCAGAACAAGGAAGGGACAGGATGAAGGATAGGAGCATTAGGATGGTTGATAAACTCGCATTTAGCCTAGCGTTATGACGACGCTGGGCCAGCTACGCTAACGGTAGTGTTAGCCTAGCGTAGTGTAGCGCAAATACGCTACATTGTAGCGTAGTGTTAGCGCAGATTACTGTATCTGCGCTAACGCTACGCGTGTGAGCCGCAAAAAAGGGCCCTCTATGCTGCGCTACAGCACATTTTAGCGGTTTTTTGGCCGTTTTTGCCGCTAAAAGCGCTGTAGCGCAGCGTAGTAGCACTAACAGTGCACTAACACTACAGGTTTGGCGCGCTGTTCTGAGGGCCGCTACACTAACGTTAGTGGGCCATTTAGTGTAGTGTAGCATAGCTGCCCACGGTTGGTTATGACTTGTTCATGGTCATTGTAGATGATAAAGGAAACTGTGAATAAGGGAATATATAAATGTGTAATGTGTATGTTAAAGAGGAAAGAAATTCAATCACAGAGGTTCACTTTAATGACCAGATGCAGTGAGCAAAAGATGTAAAAAGAATATAATTAGAAAGTATAAACTGATGAGTGTTGATCAGGAAAAGAAACATGAAAAATAGAGGAAAAATAAACAAAAGGAAGGAAAAATATAAAAGGAGGAGGGTTGACATGGGAGGATAGGCCAGAAAAGAGTTGAGGAAGAGAATTGATGTCTCTTCCGCCATTGCCTTGTGCAATACTCGTTCTGGAGGGGAGTTTGTTGTTTAACGTTAAACAGTTGAATAGGGGATAGGAAACAAAGGAATACTTAGGAACCATGGCAATGGGTGAGACAACAACAAACACCAGAAATGCAGCATCCAAAATCAAGAAGACAAGCAGACATAGTTGAGAGAAAATAAGGCCTCTTTAGTCAGGGTTCTAAGACCACAACCTAGGGGGTCAGCTTGAATAACAAACCAATAGCACAGGGGATTTCAAGATGATTAGAGGGTGGATCTCCAGAGAGATCAGTCTAAGAAACTATGGCAGAAAAATCAAAGATGGGAAAAAGAATCTCAATGGGATAAGATAAAGAAACACAGGGCTTGGTAATTAAGAGTCTCAAGTCCAACAGAATGACTTTGTGCAAAGAAAGTGTTTATCAATACTTGTGGATGAATGTTTGGAGCTGCATGTTCCAGCCCTCCTAGAGATACATGAGTTGCCACTTCACTTTATGGTCTGGGAACAAGTCCTCCTTTCAACTTAACAACAGGCCATACTTAGCATCTGTGTTGCTATAGTTGAATTTTCCATCACCATCTGCAATTCAGTATATAAATAAGTCAATGAGAATCACATCTACTCCTCATTTATGTAACTTGTGTGATTGCTCATTGCCTCCCCTCCTCAGTTACAATAAAATGTAAGCCAAGAGAGGGGAAGGATTGAGTCTTTTTACAGGGTCCTTGTGATAAACCTGGTGTTTCTCAGCATATGACATCCTATGGTGGTTCTTAGTTCAACAGTAATACCAAAGAAAGACTTCATAACCAAGCAGTGCATACTTCCTGAGTCAAAGTCAACCAAGACCCAAGGATTTAGGATTGCTCCCTCAAGCTATGGGGCCTCAGGAAGACGGAAGATTTCAGCTCCCATCCTGACCACAGTATACATACTCGGCCCTTGTGATTGAGCAATTTATAGCTGGGTTCCATTATGGAATCTTACAGGAAGTGGAAGTGGAAATGTTCAAGCTATGAATAATTGACAATAGTAAATAGGTACTGATAGGTGCTAACAGGTTTGAGTAGGAAGCTGTACTTGGACCGACGAAAGAGTTCTGTGTAGTACAATGTTCATTTTCTATACTCATGTGCTGAAGTTGGTTTATGTGTAAATTAGTTTTTGGAAGTTTTTGCGTGAACCGCGGGTTTGTGATCTTGGACCGAGGTTGGCTTATGTCAGTCTCCTCCATCACACTCACTACATAAGCCACTCTGGCTTGACTCCTCCTACTAACCAAAACACACCAAACACCACACCATGTCAGCTGCACACCACCACCACCAACAACAACAACAGCAACAACAACAACAACAGCAGCACCATCAACACCCTTCATTCCACAATTCAGCTGCTGCTTCAACCATCCATTCGGCACCCAGCCCCAATCCGAACTCGATCAGCGAAGACAAACTCATCGATGCCTTGGTCAACAAGATCATGGCCAAACTATCCAATCAGGCCGACCCCCATCTCTCACCACTCGAGACGGACGAACTCATCCGACAGTCCTGCAGCTCACTATTCGAGATGTGCTGCCAGCGTCTGCCATGCGTCATTCAAAAACTACTCCAGGAACTCGACTCCCCCTCCCATGTGAGTCTAGACACCTCAAATCAAATCACAACACTCATCAGCTCACTCCACAATCAATCTCTATCCTCTAGCCCTTCACCTCTGACGAACAGACTGGCCTGGTCGATCATCTCCGTACTCAACTGTTTGTCATCAAGATCCTGTGCTACTGCATGTCATACCACTGGGCCTGGCATCGAGACCAAGTCGCACTCCAAACCGTCGTCACCTCCTCACCCTCATCGTCAATCCCACCCGACCCGCCTGCCGCCCCAAAACCCTCCCTGACGGACTGGGTCGACCCCCCTCAACTGGATGATAACCTCGCCAAACAACTCGTAGCCACCATCAGCTTCTTCCTCAAGGAACATCAACGTTTCGAAGATGCAGGTGCCGCCTTGGGCCCCATAGGCACTCAAGCGCCCCCTTATTCACACGACCCACATCGAAAACAACAAACTTTGATCGTCGGTTTCACCGGTAACTCTCAGTCGATCTTTGGTAGAGATGGCGAAGATAAACCGATCGTACCCTCACTCATGAGCGATATCCTCACCCAAGTCTCCAAGATCTGCTTCTTCGTCTCTGCATCCAACTGGACCATCGTCCTGGGTAAGATCAAGAACCGGATCGCCTATTGGTCCGGTCCCGAAGAATTCCCCGATCGATCGGAGACACGCCTACTCGAGTTCTGTTCCCTGAACCGTCATCGATTGAGCTCGATCATCAGAGAACTCTCCGCCCAGTTCGTCCACCTCAAACGCGCCGCCCAATCTGATATCGCACTAGCCCTACGTCGATCGATATGGAACTGGATCGAAACCTATCCTAACGAGTATGCGAGTCTCGTCCAATCCAACGGTCGACTCGAAGGCGCACCCGATGTCCTCTTCGACGTGGCTCATGGACTATCTGAGAACGGCAAGAAGCGATCGTACACCTGGCCGATGATGTCAATGTTACTAGCCGTCTGTCCAGATATCGTCCTCAAGATCACCGTCGGTGATCGAAACCGATCTCAAGTTACCGCCCGGAAGGCCGCATTCATCGAAAGTCTACGGAAACATTTGAAAGCGGTCAAGATGACCGATGTCGCAACCGCCTGCTGTGTGGATCTATGTAAAGCTGCAACCTTCTCTCCCAAGACGACCGCCGAAGGTCCTGGACTGAGGTTGCTAGCTCTCGACCTGGTCTCCGACTTGAATTCACGATTACTGGATCCCTCAAAACCATTCACTAACTCGGAAGGCGTGGTCGAGATCCCGTTAATGTCAGAGGCACTTGCAGCTCTATGCAAACTCGACCGGCACTTCGTCGATACCACCCTCCTGGAGAAATGTCTCTCCCGTAACAGTTTCCTACCCTTCCAGATCGCATTCATCCAAGCATGTCAGAAACTAGCCAGTGATCCGGAGTTGACGAGCACCAAGTCGGACGGGACAGCCGACGACGACCCCGATGATATGTCAAATTGGAACGTCAAGCTGAAAGAGTTGTATCCAGTCATCGCATCCTCCTTGCGCCATGTGTTCATGTCAGCGGTGATCGAATCGAACCAATTCCATATCCTCATGCGCTCCAACTCGAAGGTGATGGCGGGTGAAGATAACTCACAGAAGACCGAGCTCGTCCGGGCGCTTCTAAACCTATGGACCCAGGACTGCAAGCTAGCCTTCTATGTCCCACCGGGCCGGACCTTAGCGCCCCAGTCAGGCCGCTCATGCCACGAGCTCAACTCACGTCTGGCCTCCGGAGCTGAGATCAACCCTGATGATCTCGAGATGTTTGTCTACCTTACCACCCTGCTCCTCAACAACCGTAACCCTCGTCCTGTCCGTCAAGCCGCGATAACCGTCTTGCGTGCCTACCATCAGCCGTCTAACTCCAGATCCACTGCAACTTCCGACTCATCCCGCTCGCAGATCGGCCCCAGTCTCGACCTTCCACTCGGCCTCAAGCAGACTCGCGCTATCGTCGGTAATGCGATCCTCAAGAGTCTGCTGGATTCTTGGGTTTATCGTGAGGAAGAGAGAGAGGTACTTCAGCTACTCAAGGCTTATCTGGATCGCTTTAAAGAAGCAGTCGATTGGAGTGAACGAAGCCATACCGTACGCATCCTATTCTTTTATAGTTATCGTCCCAAGATTCTCACACGCGTACTGCTGCTTCTTTCTTTCTTTCTTCTTTGGGGCTAGCAAACTTTTCCATTCTCGAGTGAATCGAATGCAAATGATTGGCACGTCTTCGGACACCTCTTACAACTCGCGATCCCGCTCGGTCTGTGTACAGTCGACCAATATAACCTGGCCTTATTGCTTCGATGCTCGAAGGAGATCATCAGTATCTTTGAGAAACATCCCTTTGTTTTACAGCTGTGTGGCTTAGACTCCGGTCTCACAGCTTCTCAGTTAACGGCCACCTTGCAAGGATTGCCTGACGATGGTAAAGGATTAGGTGGTCAGTAGCCAAAAAAAAAACATGTCACATCATCATCACAGTCACCTTAACTTCTTCTTTCATTCTTTCAGGACGAGTCGCCCAAGCCAAAAGGGCTAAATTGGTGATGCGAACAATCTCTTGCAATTCACCGATCACCGATCCATTGTGGGATGAGGCTTTGAGACGTTGGAAACTTCTGTCGACACTTGTTGGACATCGGCCCTTCGAAGACTCGTCTGGTGATACGGTGCTCTATGATTCTCCACCAGCACTGGGTGCAATATCTGGAGAAGGTGTCTTGGTCCGTCTTTTTTTTTTTTTTGAAAAGTCTGGCGTCTTTCCTCTCTCGCGCTAGCTTACATCGTGTCCTTTTGGGACTCATATACGTGGCTGTCCACAGGAAAATACCAACGCCTGGATCAGCATCTCTGGTCTCTTGACATCTATCGCCAGTCTTCACGATCCCAATAATTCGAAACCCCGTTCTCCGCCTCTTGAACACTATATACCAACGGACCTACTGCATGATCGATTCTATGCGATCCCGGATCGAGCCCGAAATGTGGATCGGTATATCCAGGTGCGTGAGAGCGATTTCTAGAGCCAAGTTGGGGAGACTTACCTTGAAACGAATCTGGAGATTATTAGGAGATGGTCGATCTACTCGTAGCCGACGATCTACGGATGCGAGAAGGAGTGAAAGATGCATTGGGCACAGAACTGAACACAGCATTATTTCCGATCCTCCTGAAACATCTCAAGTCGATCGTCGCGCATTTCTTTGAGAACGATCGAGCGAAGCCGCAGAGTCCGTTCAGTCACTTCATCGAACAAGCCATCTCGATGCTACGCCTCTTCTTCGAGCGGATCACCGAGCCCCTCTCCGAGCTTACCTCCGAGCGCGTCTGCTCCCTGCTCATCGACTTTACGAGATATACCAACAGACTCGGTAACCTCGGCTCTGAATTCCAAGCGATCGCCACTCGGATCAAGTATAAGATGGCCCAGCTCTGCGAACTCATCGTCGCTCATAAGGACCGGATCCCCTTGATCACTAACCCAGTAGTCAAGAACCAGATGATCGATTACTTCTTGGCTTGGGCCACCAATGTCAACATGGTATGGATCTTACTAGCTCTCTTGTCTGTATTCTCTCTCTCTCTAACTAATTTAAAACGATCTAGGTGTCGTGTATTTCGGCTGAGGAAGCGAGTCGTCAGAGAGCTAACAGAGACCTCAGTCTTGCCTGTCTCAAGGCGCTCTCGGCGTTCTACGATGGCCTCAAACTTCAAGCTAGACATTACTTGCTCCGGCAAGGTCCTAATCCTAACCTTGTCCATATTCGTCTGTTCAGTCGTCATTACGATTATCTCACTTTTATGTTGACTGAGGTCACTAAATTAGAAGTATGTTGTTTGTTTCTCTTAATTAAAACAAAGGATTGCTCGGGTGTTGAGAGGGGTCTGGATTCCGCTCTTCGTAGGCGGTTGCGGTTCGGAGTCGGAAAAGTAAAATGGCCGCTGGCGGTAGCTTGGTAAGTAGATCAGTACTGAATGCACAAACGTGATTCTGAGAGGGTTTTTTTTCTTCGAAATAAAAAACTGATGATGATATCAATTGAATGTGAGCAGGCGGGAAATGGACCTACGCCGGAGCTGGCGGCGGCATTACAACGGGAGCTGAGCTCGATCACGCGGGAGATTGTGGAGCTGTCGGGCTTCCGTGAGCAGACGATGAACTGTCTCGTCAAGCTCATGGCCGCCAACATGAACCCCGCCTTCCGCTACTTCGTCAACATGTTCCATCATCCCGACACGCGCATCAAACAGGCTAACATCCAGATCCTTTGGGAAGTCATCAAGGAAGGCGGTCATCTCTTGCCTGAACTCGTCAAACCCGTTCGCACTTCTGGATTGGACAAAATCGTCGATGTCGGTTTTTTTTTCTTCCCGGTTTCTCATCAGCAGAGTTCCTCATGCATTAAGTTGACTTTTTTTTCTTGTTGTATTATTAGATGATTACTAGGCCTGACCTCACCCTTGCTCTGGCCATCTCCAAAATCTGTGGATCCGCTGATTTCGAGGAAATGACTGAAGTGATCCTCAATATATTCGATTATCGGAAAGGGGTCATCAAGTTTTTGAAGGCATCAATTGAACGGGAAGTAGCCATCACGGGTAAGCAATCCAATTTTTTTTATTGTCGGATGTCGATCGAGCTTGTTAAGTTTGTATTTAACTACCACCGTGGACACCAAAAAATCCAGATCATGAATCGACCGTCTTCCGAGGGAACTCATTCACCACCCGCCTCCTCACCATCTTCGCCCGTGCCCAGGGATACGACTATCTCCGTAACACGCTCTCCAATCTGCTCGTCGGCTTGTCTAATAAACCCTCCGAGTTCTCCGTCGACTTCGATCCCCATAGGGCTAGCGCCGATGACGACGAAGCTTCGAGGAACCTCGAACAGGTCACTGAGGCCTTCCTTAATGTGATTGCTGTTTCGTGGAAGAAATTGCCTAGGTAATTCATCCATTTTCTCGCAGTAGAAGAAGTCATAGCGTCTGACAGTCAGTTTATGGTTTCAACCATTTTTTTTTCTCTTTTGGAATGTGTTAATAGTGCGATTCGGGAGATCTGTCATCACATTGCGACGACTGTCCAAGAGAAATACCCCGAAAGTGTGTTCACATCGATTGGCGGCTTCATCTTTCTACGGTTCATCAACCCGGCCATCGTCTCCCCGGAGGTCATCGACCTGGATCTACCCAATGACACCCGAGAGATTCGGCGGAGTCTGGTGATGATCACCAAGGTGCTCCAGGCTCTCTCGAATAACATCCGGTTTAGCGCCCGGGAACCGGCGTTGAAACCGTTGAATCCGTTCATGGCTAAGAACGTCTATCCGATGACCAGGTTCTTGAAGGATATCTCGGTCAGTCTTTCTCATTTCTCATCCTCCTCAATCAGAATGAATAATTCTGAAGAAGGACCCCCCAAAAAATTGATGAAAAAAGAGATGTTTTGGATGGTGTTGTTAATGAGAGTAGTCGATAGATGAGCACGGGATGATGGAAGAAGGAACGGAGCTGAATGACGAGCTAGCGCCTGTGCCATTAGATGCGGCGGACCGCTATGTACTGCATCGATTCCTGTACGAGAACATGGACAAGCTGGGTGCGGAGCTGAAGAGTGGGCGAGCGAACGAGTTCAAGCATTGGCACGACGGCACCGAGCGGCTCACGCCCACCCTGGGCCAGGAGATCTGGGCCGAGGTCCACCAAACTCTCCTCGAGATCGGCCCGCCTGGCGCGGCTGATCCCGACCTCCCTATGGCTCAGTTCGATGGCCCAGAGTATCATGCCTTCCTCGCTAAATTCGAACTCTCTAAGGCCCCCGATCCGCGCATCTGGCAGTCTCTCTTCTTCGAGGCCCCCAGATCTAGAGTACACTTTCTCTTCTTCCTCGATTCCATGGTATTCCTGTTCTTGTGCTGACTTTTTTTTCTCTTTAGTTACAAACTATGCCGATCTTTATCTTCTTGACTAGTCGACTTAAAGCTGAAATGTGTGACTTGGAGTCATTCTATCTCTACGTGTTACAAGTATGTGCTCTTTTTTTTAAAAAAAAAAAACTCCTACCATCTATCCACCTTCTAGTCTATTTTTTCAATTGTCAAGACTGACGGAGCTGAAATAATGGATGGATGGATTGATGATGAAATAGGCAGTCGAAGCGATCGACGGTCCGTTCTCCTTATTCCTGGATTGCACCGGATTCACGTTCAGTAACGAGATCTCATTGCCGTGGTTCCGGCAACTGGTTGACTGTTCTCCGAGCATCCCGTCGCTCCATCTCGCCCAGATTTGGGTCTACAATGCCAACGCCATCTTCCGTCGATACATCCGCAAACTCGGGGCTAGTCAGTCTCTCTCTCTTATGAAACTCTTCCTCATCCTTCCACTCACAAGAACATCTCTTTGACATGTTTTTTTTCCCCTTCTTGTTCTGCGATTGATTTGACTTGTTAGCCGAGAAGCAAGAGCGCCGTTGGACTAACCTTGTCAGAGCTGTTAGCTCGTTGGACGAGCTCTCGATCTGTCTGCCTAACTACGAACAAGTCCTTCCTGCAAGCTCTTGTAAGTCATTTCCTTTTATTTTCGCCCTCTTCACAAAGATCTGAAGGGAAAACGATTTTTTTTTCGGGCGTAATGAATGCGTAGGGAATATGTTCCATGATAAAAGAGTCGTCATCAGTCATGTCACTCATCTTCAACAGTATCAAATGCAGATACCTGTTGTCCTTCATATCGGCTCCAAGACGTTACTGATTCGATCGGTGAGCGCCTTCATCTGATTTCCTTTAATTGATCTCGAATAATCTTCTGGAGCTGAAATGGATGGAGAATCTGATCGGTGATCATTTGTTTGTGTATAGTCGAAAAGGCTCGAATTGTTGTCGGATGCCAAATGCACCTTGAACGATGTGATCAGACTTAAGGATATCGAGGAGATGCAGCGCTTGCCTCCCTCTAACGTCCACATGGATCCCGGCTTTATTATCAAACAATACGGATCTAATGTCACCATGAAATTTGTTAGTGTCAACACTGATCGGATTATCGAGGTAAACATTTTTATCCTATCAACAATTTGTACCCAAAAAAGCCTTTCCTTTTTTTTAAACATATGTTTGTTCTTTTCCTGATCTGTCAGACGTTGGCGAATACTCAAGCCGATCTACTATCGACTCCTCAAAACTTTGACTTCCGACCCCGAAGCCTCACCCCCGGTACTATCTATGGTTCTCTCTTGAACGGGGCTATCTTCAACTTGTGTAGCTCAGATTCTTTGATCAGGATGGCTGCTCTTAGCTTTCTTCAAGGGCTGACTCGGGCGTTACGGATCGATAAGATTGAGGATGTCATTCCATTCCAAGGTATCTCATCTTTTCCCCATCCTCAATCTCAACATTGGCCATCTCCCTAACGTCCGACATTCTTTTACACTTGTAGGAGGCTATATCCCGCGTCTAGGCTTAGCCTTCATCTCAGACATCAGTGACCGTCTGGCCAGGTCCGTCCCATCGGCCACCTTCTCCTTCCTCGACGAGTTCTTCATCACTCTGCCGACCGCCTCGGCCTCCGAGGTGGCCGTCTACGCTCATGCGGTCAAGTCTTGGCTGCAGAACTTGAGCAACTGTCTCGTCTGTCCTCGTGAAGAATACGAACATGCCCGCAATCGGGCTAAGAATATCTTGCGTCGATTGATCGAACTCACTCTGTGTCAACAAGACGTAAGTCATTCTCATTCTTTCAGAGTCCGAAGTCCGTATAAGATTGACTACCCGCTCATCTCTTTTCCTATGTTTCTTTTGATTAGCTACAAGGACTCTTGCATGGACGGATATGGCCTTCATTGGCTCGACAGGAATCGCTCCTTCCTTTGATCATCGAGGAACTGGCTATGTCGGCAATCACTCATGGATCTAATTCTGCCCGATTCACTGAGGTTTGTGAGATTGCGGTTTCAGGTAACTGCATCAATTTACAGGGGAAACTCTTGCATCGATTGCGGAGGGTGAGTGATTGTAATCAAGTTGTCTTCTTATTTCCAATTGGATCGTTTTTTTGATGGTTGAAGTGTTTTGTTACAGGCGATTGGACGGACGACTGCTCAACCGGTAGCTATGATAGCTGATAGTCCGGAATGGCCCGAGATCACTGCCTTGGTGAGGATGGAAATGAGTATTTCGTTTTCAGCGCATATCCAAGCGCAACTCTACCTGCCGGATATCTTGCACATCGTGACGATGCTAGTGGGCACCGGACTGGCCAGCCAACGGTCGGCGATCTACTCCATCGTCATCAACACGCTCACCTGTCTCTGTTCTCTGCAAGGCCCGAACCATGAAAGCTCGGCGCTCTATGCAGTCATCAAACGGCTCGGCCAGCCCGCCGTCCAGGCCTTGTTCGGCTTATATCCTAACGATCTCGCCCTTCGTTATACCGAAGACGATTTCAGCTTTCGGGAACCTATCTCCTCTATCGCCCTCGAGTCAATCGTGCAGCTTTTGATCGAGGCTGTCAAGGTTGCTTCTCCCGCTATAGGTCAGTCTCAAACAGTCTATATTTGCTGAAATTCTTGATGAATTGGTTTTTTTAAACATATGTAATTTATCCTGCAACCAATTAGATACCATTAACCGTTGGAGGTCGAGATGGGCTAGCTTGGTGACATCGACGTGTTTCCAAGCTAATCCAGCCTTACAACCGCGAGCATTCGTAGTACTGGGATATCTGTTAACGGAGGAGGTGGATGATGACCTACTATTCCAAGTTCTCTCAGCGCTCAAGCCAGCGCTTGGTCTACCATCAGGAATTGACCGAGCACTGGCGACATCGATCATCTCCTGTGGAGCCAAGGTGTTATCAGGAGTTGCGCCGAATTCGCCATACCGTTCGGCATCCTTTTGGACTGGACTGACGTTACTACAACTAGAAGATCCGGCGATCTATGCTGCTGCATTGAAGCTGACTCGCTCGGCGGTCCATGACTTTTGTCAGTCGGAGATCCTGGGCAACCAACGACTGTCGCAATTCTTGCTGGACTCGAGGGACGATGGGACGATCGAGGTGATGGGACAGATCGAGGAAGTCTGTGGATTGCGGTTCGATAATGGGGAGGCAGGGTATGCTCCGGATGGGGCGATTTACTTTGGCTTTGCACTGGCAAGCTCGATGATCAAAGGTTTACGACATGCACAGATCGCGCAAGATGCGGAAGAGTTCTTAGAGTTACTATTGATCCAAGCGACCAACCGAATGAACGACGGGAGCCATCATCAACATCATCATCATCATGGGGGCAGTCGAATGAGTCCCGAAGCCTTACCGTACTTTGTCGTCCTCCTGCCTATTGCCGTCCGGACTGGAAAACTTCTTCAACTGTTCGAACTCGCCCAGGTCGACCGAAACTCGCTCGATGCCGCCGAACTCGCACTCTCCTATGGCTTCATCATCAATCAACTTCGCATGTCCGACCATGAAACCGCGCTCCTCGTCGTCGCTATCTTCACTAGTATGATCTCCTCCGCTGACGACGAAACTGAATTGGTCTTCCTCTATAATATCTTGGCTGAGTTGGTCCATCGTGACGTCGTCCCTCATATCATGGTCCTTGTGTATGTCTCTCTCTCTCTCTTCACTTTTGCTCTTGTTTATATATCTTCCTCCCTTCTTTTTTGTTTCTTGTTGATTGTTTTTTTGGTTTGGTGTTTTTTTTTTGGCAGTCAAACTGAACTGGCGCCTAGGATTCAGGAAATCATGCGGACTTCAGAAAATACGCAACTGTTGAACGCATGTCAAACGGTGATGTTTCCGTACGTGTTCCACCCAGGCCGGATTTTGAGATGATCGTCAGCAGCAACAAGCTGATTGTTTTTGTGAATTTTTTGGATGGATGTTAAGTAGACATCATCCACGAGTAAAAGGCTCGCAATTCCTAGCCCGATTGACGGATGGCATCGAGTCGCAAGACTTCATCTCGATCTTGAATCAACTAGGCTTCTCTGGGCTGTTGTTGCACAAACACTTTGTCGATGAAGCCGGCGATGAACCCCACCATGCTCATCATCAACACCAACACGAGTCTTCGGCCTCGAGCGGCCTCAACCATAATCCGCTCGGATTGGGCATCAATCATCCCGCGCTCGCCGCCGACCTTAATCATCTCGCTCAGCTCGCCCCTTCCCCCGCACTTAGTCGCGAATTCGACACTAAAATCGCGAGGCTTTGTGTCTGCTTGGTCCGTCTTCTTCCACTTTCTCTTTTTCTACTCTGATACTTATCTGCAACTACTACTTTTTTTTTTGGGGGGGGGGGTTAGATTATCGAAGCTTTGGCCGTTTGAAAGGATGCTTTGGGCCGTGGGGGTCTGTCTTCTTCTTCTTCAATAATACAACAACAAAAGGACTCCAAATGCTCGCCACGACAATGGTCACAAAATATATGTATATATGCTGGATGAAACAACTACTACTACATTAACGACGACGACAACGACGATTATCATCTCCTTTTTTCATTTGTACCTTTCTTCTTTGTTTTTTGGGTTGTTTGTGTTCGTATTGATGCTTAAAAAAACATGCATTTTTGTGGGATCAGTTTTTTCTTTCTTCTTCTTTTTTCTGTTGTGTCAATGATTTCTGGGTGTGGATCAGAAGGAAGCCCGGGACTGAGTGTGTGTTTGATTTCTTCTCTCTCATCTGTCCTTCTTCTTTTCTTTTGTATGTGTGTTTGTGTGTTTTTTTGGTGGCTTCTTTAGTATCCCAGGGTTCCCTTTTTCCCGGTTTTTCTTTCTGGGTGGTTTGGATCATATCTACATGAACAAAAAGCAGATCAAAATGGGGAGCCTGTGGGGAACTCTAATCGGACTTGTAATCACTCCGTCATCATCATCAATCTCCATCGTCTGCTGCATTTCCTGGGCCTGTATTGGAGGGGGGACAATTCTTTGGGAGTGTATATCTGTAGGGGCTTAGGTCAACAACTCCCTAACAAACTCCCATTGCTGTCATGGTTGGGGGGAGGTGTCTGTCTAATTTGATGGCTGCATATTTGGGAGTCTCGTCCCTCAAATCTCCATTCTTTTTTTTAATAAGAGGGAAGGAGTTGTTGGTCGAAAGTAAAACACGCTCTCACTGTGAGGGATATGGGAGCCGTTGCTATCTTTTATGGCAGAGGTGGCAGCCTGACTAGCTTAACAAATCCCCTTGACAGAGGGCCGGAGGCAACTTGCAAAGCGAGCCTCTGAAAGAGGGGCTTATGAGCAAAGACCAAATTTTAGCCTGGAAGCTGGTGGCTTTTCATTGGGAATGCCCTCTATCCTGTCCATTACTCTTGACTCATCCAACCAAAAATGCTGCAACTAACTTTGTCACATATGTGACCATAAGACCTATTGTCCCATGAATTTTATTTTTGTAATCTTGGTTGCTATCACTTATCCATCCTTTGGATAGAAAGTGAGGAATGCCAATCAAGCTGAATTTGAGCTTATCCCATAACAAGTGGTACAAGACATAGTATGGTGTTGCAAGCGCGTCTGGGCACAAACCCAAGTCCCGCTTGGCCAATAGCCACCGGGGGTTTGATTTGTGCCCAGAGGGCTTGATCATGCGGGTTGTGCGGGGGGTGGGACTTGGCACTCAGCCAAGTCCCGCTGGGCCGATTGGTGGCTCAGGCGCTCCCCTCCCTCTCAAAAACCCGTACAAACCCAGTCGCCCAAGACGGGAGATACCCGTCTCGACGCTTGGTATACGGATAGAATCAACCGATGATGGTACAGTGATGGTCATTGGTCATCGAGCAGAGTGATTGACTAGTAGTGAACCAGTCATCAAGAAGGGATTCCTTCTCGATGGCCGGCATTTTGGCGGGTGTGGCACCCTCGCTTGATTTCGGTCAAGCGAGGCTTTGCTCCAACCCCCGCCAGCTTTAACATGTGCCAAGCGGGGGCTGGGAGGGTGCCACGCGGGCTTTACAGTCGGCCAAGCGTAACTTAAGATCTGCCCAGCGCGCTTGGCCTGTTTTTGGCTGAGGTTTGGTGTGTGCCCAGACGGGCTTGCAACACCATATGTCTTGTACAGATGGCGCATGAAGCCTCTAGTTGAGTCAAGGTGCAATATCACCTTGGGAGTGTTATGTTGATAAGAGGTCAGTACAGGAAGTATGTCCCAAATATAGGGAACAAAAGCGCATAAGTCATAGTATGCATTGCATGACAGCATACATACAAATCTTGAAGAAGAATCCTGAGATGCTTGATCATCCTCAATGCCAAATGGCCTTTTTCAGAGGCAGGTCTTGCCAAGACCCAAAGGCCCCTGGCCAAGTGGGTGCACCCAAAAAATCCCCACAATGGAGGTGTTTGCACTAGTCCAAACAGCAGAAGGAATTTCCAGTTGGAAGACGGGGCAAATGTCAGGGGAAAGTTTTTCCCTACTAACTGCCCCCAGCTGCCACACACAAATTATGACATTACTTGCAAGTCCCTCCTTTGGAGGCTCACTTTGAGAGGGGTGCTTGCGCCCGCCTGGTACAGGCCCTCCAATCAAGGGACTTGGGTTAAGTTTTAAGAGCATCTCCACCGCGGTCCCTAAATTGAGTCCCTATCCCGCATTTAGGGACTGTGGCCCAAAACCACACCGCCCACCACGGTCCCCATTGTCGTCTGTATTTTACGGATTTCATCCTTGGTCCCTCTCCAGACCCTGCCTAAGAGCATCTCCACCGCGGTCCGTATTTTCGTGTCCCTATCAATCAAAAATACGGACTCGGGAATGCAGATAGGGACTCGCAGACTTGTTGTGCCACACCGGGCAGTCTGTAAATCAACATGACATGCGAGTATTGGTGCGGTGTTGGCAAGATGTTACTTGAGGTTGTGGTGTGTGGTGTGTGACATTTACATTGAGGTGTTCTGTGAGTGCACAATCCTCGGTCCCTATCCAATCCCTGGATCCAGGGTCTGGAGAGGGACCGAGGATGAAATCTGTAAAATACAGACGACGATGGGGACCGCGGTGGGCGGTGTTTTTTGGGCCGCGGTCCCTAAATGCGGGATAGGGACCCAATTTAGGGACCGCGGTGGAGATGCTCCAAGACCATCTCCACTGTGATCTGTATTTTTGGGTCCCTATCAATCAAAAATACAGACTCTGAAATGTGTGTAGGGACTCGGAACCCTGTTTTGCCACACCGGGTAGTCCTTAAGAGCAACTCCACCGCGGGTGGTAATTTGGGTTGCTAAACCCCATTTACCACCCCAACTCTCAAAAAACCCCGCCACCGCGGGTGCTATATGGGGTGGTAAACAACATCTTGGGTCAAAAAAATGTACCAAGATTGTAGATTGGGCAACTCCGTACAACCCTTGGAACCACTCTAGTGTGTGTGAAACCGTCCTTCCGACCTGTGAAAGTCTGCTTGGTTTAACCCTGGCACCCCCGATATCTTCATCCTCTGTACCACCGATATCCACCACTGGCCAATCAATCTCTACCACCAACGATGGCATCTAATCCAGCTCCTGTTTTGGATCCGTTGCTTCTTACCAACATCAATGAAAGCAAAAGTAATTCAGTTTTTTTTTCTGCATAATTTTTTGATATGTTGCTGATTGAAGTTTTTTTTTTTTTTTGATCTAGACCAAGCAAACTCGGAAAACACCAAAGCTGAAAAGAAAGACAAACGAAAGAAGGGACCAGACTATCAAGAACAGAAGGATGCGCAGTTATGCTGCTCCTGGATCGAAGTCTCTGAAGATCCAAGCGTCGGGACTGACCAAGCGGGTACACCATTCTGGGATTGGATCTCCAAATGCTACCACGATTCCATTCCACCGCCACCTCGACCTACAGGTAGCCTTAAGGGCCGCTGGCAACTCATCTTTCATGGTTTTAGCAAGTTTGCTGGTTGTGTCAAGCACAATGACCAGTTGAATCCAAGTGGTGCAACTTCCAAAGATTGCCTGACCAAGGCGCTCTCACTTTACGCTGAGCTTCAAGGGAAGACTTTTGCCTTCCTTTGGTCCTACAACATCCTTAACTCATCCCCCAAATGGAGTGAGTATTTCCAAGACTTGGAATCAAAGGGAATCCAAGGCTCAAAGAAAAAGAATAAACAAGCAAGGAGCCCAAGTAGCGAAGCACCCCCTTTAAACTCTGAACAAACGTCTGATGCTGAAACTCCAACTTCCACTCCTAAGTCAACCGATCAATCTGATCCAGATTGACCAATCGGAAAAAAGAAGGCAAAGGCAGCTCTCAGAGACAACACTACCAAGGCTTGTTTAATGAAGGACATGGCTACGGCTCAAGCTGAGATTGCCAATCAGTCTAAACAACAGAACAATATCTATCTCATTCAAACTGGAACCATGCAGACCATGGCCAACCTGGCCATCATGAACAAGGATCTCAGCGGCCTTGACAAGATCACTCAAGAGTTCTACACACTTCAACAAAAGCAGATCATGCTCAAAGTCCGTGAGCAATCTCAAGCGGCTAGAGCTAAAGCAGCTGCATCCAACACTCAATCGTTTCCAATCAAGCAAGTGGTAGTACTCAAACTGGGTCAACCTCTGGCTCTACTCAAACTCAATCAGCTTTAACCTTGACCGATATCACCCACAGTACTGAGGCTACTTCTACATTGATTGATATCAATCATGCAGCATGATCTTATTCTCTTCATCTTTTTTATGTTCTCTCACAAGTTTCTCACCTATTGATCTCATTTCTATCTATCAGTTAGAGACCTCATGCCTATCTATCACTTAGTGATCACTTGTATACAGCAATCTCTTGTCTATGAATCTCTCTCAAAGCTTGAAGTCAATTTCTCTGAAGCAATAGTATAACGTTGAACAATCAAAATGAAATGATAAAGAATCACAAGTCTGATCTGCCTTTAAGGTCCCAGTGGTGTTTGATTAAATCATTCCTTAAAGTGATATGAGTGGCCTTGCTTTGTAAGGCACGGAAGTTAGAAATAAATTGAGAAAAGTCTCCCCTAGTGTCCAATTGTTCCACGCTAACCTCTGAAACTGTTGCCAAGGTCTTGTAGAAGTTTTCTAGGTTTACTCCGCACTCATCCTCCACTATCATGTTGTGGAGGATGACACAAGCTTTCATGATGAGCTGCAGATTTCTGTGTTGCCAACCTCAAGCTGGTCGTGATACAATTGCGAATCAAGATTGAAGCACGCCAAACGCTCTTTCCACATCTTTCTGACACGCCTCTTGCATCTTTGAGAAGTGTTTACTCTTGAGACCTTGGGGTTGCAAAATTTTCTTGACAAGAGTTGCCCAGTCTGGGTAAATTCCATTGGTGAGATAATAACCTTGTTGATATATGTTGCCATTCACAACAAACTCACACTTGGGAGCCTCTCCATTGAGGAGGCTTTTGAAGAGAGGCGAGGTATCCAGCACATTGATGTTGTTGTTTGAGCCAGGTAAGCCAAAATAGGCATGCCATATCCACAAATCTTGTCAAGCAGCAGCCTCCAAGACTATTGTGGGCACCTAGAGAGAATTGAATAGATCAGAATTTTAAAAGAATAAACATCCATAAAGTTTTTACACACCTTCTCTTTCCCTTGAAATTGCCCAGCCCAACCAGATGGACAATTTTTCCATTCCCAATGCATGCAATACAGGGATCCAAGCATGCCCGGGAATCCCCTTGCCTCTCCAATTGAAAGGAATCGCTTGAGATTTTCTGTTTTTGGTTGCCAAAGATATTCACCTCCATAAACATTGATGACTGCCCGGCAAAATTTTAGCAAGCTTTTGTTGGAAGTCGATTCGCCAAGGCGGAGGTATTTTTTGTTCAAGTCAGAAGCACTGCCATATGCATCTCAAGCCAGGTTTACCCAAGGCATCAGCCTTCTGCAAGAAGTAGTTGTTGTGTTCTTGCACATTGTCAACAATCCTCAAGAAAAGCAAGTGTCACATTTGGAAACGCCTTTGAAACAAGTGATCGGGGTAGACGGGATTTTCTGCAAAGTAGTCGGTGAACAGTTGGTTGTAGCCTGCTTCAAAATCCCGTGGCAAGTTTGGCATGCAAACGGGTCTGGATCCACCGTGCACTGGCAAGTCTAATTCTTCATCCTCTCTTGCTCTTCTCATTTGGAGAAGCATGTTTGTTGAGTTTATTATTGACATTTGTTGATTAAAGCTGTTTGAAAACATCATCCGTTGCCTTTGGAGTACAACTTGGAGGTGCACGTCAAAGTCGAGTTCTTCATTGGGATCTATGTTCATCTTTTGAAGGGACTGGATCAAAAATAACTTCCTTCCAGAGAAGTGCTAGTAGAAAACTTGGGGTTGGTGGATCAACCGGGGGTGACCTTTTGCAAATATTTAGCTCAGGTTTACCACTCTGCGGTGTTGTACATGCCTGAAGTTGGGTGTTAATTCCGTAATTTGGGTTGTAAATCCGACCTTTACCACCTGCGCTAACTTAACCCAAGTCCCTCAATCAGAGGGCCTGTACCAGGGGGGCACAAGCGCCCCTTGCGAAGCGAGCCTCCAAAGGAGGGACTTGCGAGCAATGTCAGAATTTGCGCATGGAAGCTGGGGGCAGTTAGTAGGGAAAAACTTTGCCCTGACATTTTCCCTGTCTTCCAACTGGAAATTCCTTCTGCCGTTTGGACTGGTGCAAACACCTCCATTGTGGGGATTTTTTGGGTGCACTCACTTGGCCAGGGGCCCTCGGGTCTTGGCAAGACCTGCCTCCAAAAAAGGCCATTTGGCATTGAGGATGATGAAGCATCTCAGGATTCTTCTTCAAGATTCTTATGTATGCTATTGCTGTCATACACTGCATACTATGACTTATGCACTTTTGTTCCCTGTATATGGGACATAATTCCTGTACTGGCCTCTACAAAATCAACTAGGCACTTCCTGTGCCATCTGTACAAGACATAACTATGTCTTGTACCACTTGTTATGGGATAAGCTGAATTTCAGCTTGATTCACAGTCCTCACTTTCCATCCAAAGGATGGATAAGTGTTAGCAACCAAGATTACAAAAAAAAAAAAATAGGACGATAGGTCATATGGTCATGTATGTGACAAAGTTAGCCGCATCATTTTTGGTTGGATGAGCCAAGAGTAATGGACAGGATAGGGGGAATTACCAATGAAAAGCCACAAACTGTACCAGCTTCCAGGCTGAAATTTGGTCTTCACTCATAAGCCCCTCTTTCAGAGGCTCGCTTCGCAAGTTGCCTCCGGCCCTCTGTTGAGGGGATTTGTTAAGCTAGCCACCCGCGGTGGGGTTGCTCTAAATCACCGGTATCAGTGTAGTGTTGACAGGCCGTCACACTAGTTTGAAGTGCAATGTTGTGTGACATTCACATTGAGGTGTACAATCCCTGGCTCCAGGGTCTGGAGAGGGACCGAGGAT